ATAGAGCTCATATAAAGAGAATTTCACTCGCGGTCACATTTTAGCCCTCGTCGAGGGCTTTGAGTGAAACCGACAGTTTTCCGTAAAGGTCAAGCCATTGACCTAAGAGTATGCAAAAATTTAGCCAGATATACTGAGTTTAAGTACCCTAAAGCCTGCGTTGAAATGACCCTCTGTTTTTCCAATAAAATACAAAGATTATATAGGGAAATACAACTGGTCAGTTTTGACCGCTTTACGAAGTTTTCCCAGATATGCCGAGTTTTTTGTGACACCCCAAGGCGTTTTCCTACCACCTCACAAAATTACAAGGGGGGTCGTAGGAGGAAATTTTTTTTCGTAATAGAGCTCATATAAAGAGAATTTCACTCGCGGTCACTTTTTAGCCCTCGTCGAGGGCTTTGAGTGAAACCGACAGTTTTCCCTAAAGGTCAAGCCATTGACCTAAGAGTATGCAAAAATTTAGCCAGATATACTGAGTTTAAGTACCCTAAAGCCTGCGTTGAAATGACCCTCTGTTTTTCCAATAAAATACAAAGATTATATAGGGAAATACAACTGGTCAGTTTTGACCGCTTTACGAAGTTTTCCCAGATATGCCGAGTTTTTTGTGACACCCCAAGGCGTTCTCCTACCACCTCACAAAATATCAAGGGGGGTCGTCGGAGGAAATTTTTTTTCGTAATAGAGCTCATATAAAGAGAATTTCACTCGCGGTCACATTTTAGCCCTCGTCGAGGGCTTTGAGTGAAACCGACAGTTTTCCCTAAAGGTCAAGCCATTGACCTAAGAGTATGCAAAAATTTAGCCAGATATACTGAGTTTAAGTACCCTAAAGCCTGCGTTGAAATGACCCTCTGTTTTTCCAATAAAATACAAAGATTATATAGGGAAATACAACTGGTCAGTTTTGACCGCTTTACGAAGTTTTCCCAGATATGCCGAGTTTTTTGTGACACCCCAAGGCGTTTTCCTACCACCTCACAAAATTTCAAGGGGGGTCGTCGGAGGAAATTTTTTTTCGTAATAGAGCTCATATAAAGAGAATTTCACTCGCGGTCACTTTTTAGCCCTCGTCGAGGGCTTTGAGTGAAACCGACAGTTTTCCCTAAAGGTCAAGCCATTGACCTAAGAGTATGCAAAAATTTAGCCAGATATACTGAGTTTAAGTACCCTAAAGCCTGCGTTGAAATGACCCTCTGTTTTTCCAATAAAATACAAAGATTATATAGGGAAATACAACTGGTCAGTTTTGACCGCTTTACGAAGTTTTCCCAGATATGCCGAGTTTTTTGTGACACCCCAAGGCGTTCTCCTACCACCTCACAAAATATCAAGGGGGGTCGTCGGAGGAAATTTTTTTTCGTAATAGAGCTCATATAAAGAGAATTTCACTCGCGGTCACATTTTAGCCCTCGTCGAGGGCTTTGAGTGAAACCGACAGTTTTCCCTAAAGGTCAAGCCATTGACCTAAGAGTATGCAAAAATTTAGCCAGATATACTGAGTTTAAGTACCCTAAAGCCTGCGTTGAAATGACCCTCTGTTTTTCCAATAAAATACAAAGATTATATAGGGAAATACAACTGGTCAGTTTTGACCGCTTTACGAAGTTTTCCCAGATATGCCGAGTTTTTTGTGACACCCCAAGGCGTTTTCCTACCACCTCACAAAATTTCAAGGGGGGTCGTCGGAGGAAATTTTTTTTCGTAATAGAGCTCATATAAAGAGAATTTCACTCGCGGTCACATTTTAGCCCTCGTCGAGGGCTTTGAGTGAAACCGACAGTTTTCCCTAAAGGTCAAGCCATTGACCTAAGAGTATGCAAAAATTTAGCCAGATATACTGAGTTTAAGTACCCTAAAGCCTGCGTTGAAATGACCCTCTGTTTTTCCAATAAAATACAAAGATTATATAGGGAAATACAACTGGTCAGTTTTGACCGCTTTACGAAGTTTTCCCAGATATGCCGAGTTTTTTGTGACACCCCAAGGCGTTCTCCTACCACCTCACAAAATTTCAAGGGGGGTCGTCGGAGCAAATTTTTTTTCATAATAGAGCTCATATAAAGAGAATTTCACTCGCGGTCACATTTTAGCCCTCGTCGAGGGCTTTGAGTGAAACCGACAGTTTTCCCTAAAGGTCAAGCCATTGACCTAAGAGTATGCAAAAATTTAGCCAGATATACTGAGTTTAAGTACCCTAAAGCCTGCGTTGAAATGACCCTCTGTTTTTCCAATAAAATACAAAGATTATATAGGGAAATACAACTGGTCAGTTTTGACCGCTTTACGAAGTTTTCCCAGATATGCCGAGTTTTTTGTGACACCCCAAGGCGTTCTCCTACCACCTCACAAAATATCAAGGGGGGTCGTCGGAGGAAATTTTTTTTCGTAATAGAGCTCATATAAAGAGAATTTCACTCGCGGTCACTTTTTAGCCCTCGTCGAGGGCTTTGAGTTAAACCGACAGTTTTCCCTAAAGGTCAAGCCATTGACCTAAGAGTATGCAAAAAAATAGCCAGATATACTGAGTTTAAGTACCCTAAAGCCTGCGTTGAAATGACCCTCTGTTTTTCCCTTAAAATACAAAGATTATATAGGGAAATACGACTGGTCAGTTTTGACCCATTTCCCGATTTTTCCCGGACATGGCGAGTTTTTTATGACACCCCAAGGCGTTCTCCTACCACCTCACAAAATTTCAAGGGGGGTCGTCGGAGGAAATTTTTTTTCGTAATAGAGCTCATATAAAGAGAATTTCACTCGCGGTCACTTTTTAGCCCTCGTCGAGGGCTTTGAGTGAAACCGACAGTTTTCCCTAAAGGTCAAGCCATTGACCTAAGAGTATGCAAAAATTTAGCCAGATATACTGAGTTTAAGTACCCTAAAGCCTGCGTTGAAATGACCCTCTGTTTTTCCAATAAAATACAAAGATTATATAGGGAAATACAACTGGTCAGTTTTGACCCACTTCCCGATTTTTCCGAGATATGCCGAGTTTTTTGTGACACCCCAAGGCGTTCTCCTACCACCTCACAAAATTTCAAGGGGGGTCGTCGGAGGAAATTTTTTTTCGTAATAGAGCTCATATAAAGAGAATTTCACTCGCGGTCACTTTTTAGCCCTCGTCGAGGGCTTTGAGTGAAACCGACAGTTTTCCGTAAAGGTCAAGCCATTGACCTAAGAGTATGCAAAAATTTAGCCAGATATACTGAGTTTAAGTACCCTAAAGCCTGCGTTGAAATGACCCTCTGTTTTTCCAATAAAATACAAAGATTATATAGGGAAATACAACTGGTCAGTTTTGACCGCTTTACGAAGTTTTCCCAGATATGCCGAGTTTTTTGTGACACCCCAAGGCGTTCTCCTACCACCTCACAAAATATCAAGGGGGGTCGTCGGAGGAAATTTTTTTTCGTAATAGAGCTCATATAAAGAGAATTTCACTCGCGGTCACTTTTTAGCCCTCGTCGAGGGCTTTGAGTGAAACCGACATGTCTGCCCTACGGCCAAGCCATTTACCTATAAGCATGCCAAAACTTAGCCAGATGTAAAGAAGGTAAGTGCCCTAAAATCCGTTTTGAAATGACCCTCTGTTTTTCCAATAAAATACAAAGATTATATAGGGAAATACGACTGGTCAGTTTTGACCCACTTCCCGATTTTTCCGAGATATGCCGAGTTTTTTGTGACACCCCTAGGCGTTCTCCTACCACCTCACAAAATATCAAGGGGGGTCGTCGGAGGAAATTTTTTTTCGTAATATAGCCCATATAAGGCGCCGGTCAGTCGAGGTCAGTTTTGACCCCCTCTCCGTATATTTTTCGGCCAACCGTCACCGGCCTTCGTGTTCTATCGCCCGAAGGCACCATCGTGCCAAATTTGACGCGCCTGCGGCGCCGGGAAGTGCCCTATCGGGCACTTGACCACTTTGCTTTATATATAGATATATATATATATATATATATATATATATATATATATATATATATATATATAATTCTCTTCATGGACACCACGACGCAGCCAGACGACTATCTAACTCTCATCTGCCCCCTCGCTCACCAGTCTGGCGAGCTGTGGTTCACGCCGAATGTTTTCAATCGTAGAGCAGTGTCGAATTAGTGACGGCTATTAAGGGCAGATAATTTAGCTTTTAAAAGATTTGAAATTAAGTGGAGGTAACTAAGGGGAGGCTGCTTTTTTGTGAGTGGGTGAGAATCGTCGTTTCACGAGCTACTGATAGTGTTTTAAAGCAAATATTTTCATTGGCAGCGTTGGTACTGTCGAATTCACAAATTATAAATTACTGAAAAGTAGAAAGTAAAACAACTAAATAGCAGCGTATGCTACGCCGCAAGTCGGCTCGGATATAATGCATATCACTTCCCTTCACTCCCCCGGTCACCCCCCCCCCCATCACTCCCACCACACCCCACTACTCTCCAACACTCCTTGACTCACGATTGAAAAAAAATAAAGACGACTGGGCATAGTGCTGGCCACATTACCCCTTTCATAAGCGGATCTCACAGTAAGCGGGTGAACCCTACCTCACTTCAGAGGCGTAACGATCATTCTCGGCGCCAGGGGACAAACTTTCAAGTTGGCGCCCCCTCGGGAGCAAATTTTCAATTTGCACCCACCCTCCCCCCCCCCCCCCAAACTTTCGATTCGCACCCCCCCTTCCTCAAACTATTTATAATTTGCTTTTCCAACCCATTTTGGCGCCAACTTGGGTCGGCGCCCGGGGACATATGTACCCCCCCCCCGCCCGCCCCTCGATACGCCTCTGCCTAACTTACCCTATAAGCGACCCTTCCCGGCGCCCGAAGACAAACTTTTCGATTTGCACCCCCCCCCTCAAACTTTCAATTTGCACCCCCCCCCTCAACCTTTCAATTTATTTTTCCAACCCATTTTGGCGCCCCCTTAGGTCGGAGCCCGGGGACATATGCCCCCCCCCCCCTTCGCTACGCTACTGACCATCCAACACCTACCGCGTTGACGGGGGCTGACATGTAGGGGCCGGGGTGCATGTAACTGACAGCCTGGTCACTGAGCCCGTAGATGATGAGGGAGAACAGCATCTTCTCCGAGCCGCGCATCTCGTGGAAGCCGGGCTCTATATCCGTGTTGCCCACCCGGTAGTCGGGTTTACCCAGAGCCTGGATCCATTCAATACTGTAAGAAGACGATTGGCACTGTGACATTATGACATTTGACAAGTGGGCTATAATCCGTCGACACATGTGACGTATTGCTAATTTGGAATATGTGTATATATATATATATATATATATATATATATATATATATATATATATATATGTGTATATATATATACATATATATACATATATATATATATATATATATATATATATATATATATATATATATATATATATATATATATATATATATATATATATATATATATATATATATGATTATATATATATATATATATATATATATATATATATATATATATATATATATATATATGTGTGTGTATATATGTGTGTATATATATATACATATATATATATATATATATATATATATATATATATATATATATATATATATGATTATATATATATATATATATATATATATATATATATATATATATATATATATATATATGTGTGTGTATATATATATATATATACATATATTTATATATATTTTTATATATATATATATATATATATATATATATGATTATATATATATATATATATATATATATATATATATATATATATATATATATATATATATATATATATCACAAATATTATATCCTCTCTCAGTAAACTTCGTGGAGTTAACAGTCTTAAAAATTTGTTTTGCAGAACTGAATGTTAAGAGTGATTGTAAGATTCTACCTAAACATATGCCTTAGAATCGCACTATTTCTTCTTATAACTGGGTGCCTGACACAAATGAACTCTACTTCATCTGCCCAATGTGTCTTGGGCACGAATAGGAAAATTCGATAATATTATTGATATGTCTTAGAAAACTGGCTTCATAGATTGATAAAAGCAACAACATTGCAGGATTCTACCTAGGTATTATTATTTAAGAATTTTGGCTTCATTAATTGAAAAAAAAAACTTTATAAGACCACGCCGACCCCTAAATATTATCTTATAAATCCAACTTCATGAACTTAAAAAAAAATAATTATAAGATTCTAACTAAACACACGAACATGACCATTGACAACAAACAAACAGGACAGATGTAACCTACTGTGCAGGCAGCTGCCCGTCATCAAACCTTAGGCGGATAACAAACTCAGTTTTGACCGTGATGACAATATAATGTGTTAGGTGTACGAGCTCTTGATCCGGGGTTCTGTAAGGGGGAAAAAATCATTGAAAATAGTGTTTCTTTCAGTCCTTATGGCCGGGGGGGTTGTTCTTGAAACTTTCGGGGGCGTCGGATTAAAATGTTAGGGCCGATTCTAGCCGGAATAAGATACGCATGCGATACGCATGCGCAATGGAGAGAAACTACGACTTGCCTTAGCGGCGATGTTTTAGATGGTACTGCGCATGCGTGTGTTTACAACCGCAGAACCCTAATACCAACCCTAATCCTATCCTTAACCCTATCCCTAATCATATCCCTAACCCTAACCCTAGCCCTAATCCTAACCCTAGCCCTAATCCTATCCCTAACCCTATCCCTAATCCTACCCCTAACCCTCATTCTAGCCCTAACCCTGCGCATGCGCAGAGCTATCTTTTGCCGACTAGGTGGAGACTTTGGGGAGAAGAATCTTCTTCCGAGTAGACACTTCGAAATGTTTGTGCAGGACACTGGCAAAGGCGGGGGGGGGGGGGGGGGGAGATAATAAATGCCCCCCCCCTTCTCGAAAAGATGCATGAAATTAACACTGGTCGAAAATAAAAAAAAACAATGAGAATTAAGTGTTTGTGGCTGAGACCAAACTAACGGTCAGTGTGGACGAAATGTGTGTACATAGGACCCAAACACACAGCAAGAACACGAATGGCGCGTACACGCGAGCTCAAGGTCACGATGTAGAACAAGATTTGTGTACGCACTACTAAATATATTCACAGTACGAATAAAATATGTGTACGTATGGCCGAGCATACACGGGAAAATTACAGGGTAAGGAAAAAAATATGCGGAAAAAACGACCGAACATACGCGAAAAAAATACTTGATAAGGAAAAAAATTGCGTTCGCATGACCGAACATACACGGGAATATTACACGGTAATTTTGTACCTAGGCCTACACAACAACGAAAGAGAAATAATTGTATGTAGGTCTGTACAACGACGAGAGAAAAAAAATTGTCTATATAGGCCTACTCAACGAGGAAAGAAAAAATAATTGTTTATGTAGGCCTACTCAACGATGAAAGAAAAAATAATTGTGTATGTAGGTCTGTACAACGACGAGAGAAAAAAAATTGTCTATATAGGCCTACTCAACGAGGAAAGAAAAAATATTTGTTTATGTAGGCCTACTCAACGATGAAAGAAAAAATAATTGTGTATGTAGGCGTGCACAACGTCGAAAGAAAAAAATAATTTTATATCTAGGCCTGCAAAACGAGCAGAGAAAAAAATAATTGTATACGTAGGCCTACTCAACGTCGAAAGAAAAAATAATTGTGTATCTAGGCCTGCACAACCACCAGAGAAAAAATAATTGTGTTTACAACCCAACAAATCATTGAGAATAAAATGTGTGTAAACAACCCATCAAATTATCGAGAAAAAAAAAATGTGTGTAAACAACCCAACAAATCATCGAGAAAAAAAATGTGTGTATGCAACGCAACAAATCACCCAGAAAAAAATGTGTATACAACCCAACAAATCATTGAGAATAAAATGTGTGTAAACAACCCGTCAAATCATCGAGAAAATAAAATGCGTGTACTTACGCCCAAATGTATTCGAAGTAGAACAACTCTAAAGGAATAAGACTCCCAATCGCCGGGTCTCCGAAGTCTTCGAGGTTAAACGAGGCGTCCTCTCGTCGGCACGCGGACCGCATCAGGTACATCACCTGGATGCCTTTGTTGCTTACTATTAGTCGAGGCTCGGGCAGAGTCAGCTGAGAGAAAAAAAAAACCGCGAAGGTTACTTCCCATGTTATATTTGAAACAACCAAAAAGTATAACGTAAGAGTATAACAGCTAACAATTATAATAAGCATCAGAGTCAGAAATCCGCTTAATTCTTGCTTTCTTTAGTAGTAATAGGGGGGGGGGGGGGGAGGGGTGAGGAATGGGGTTTCTTCTTTTTTCTTCTTCGTTCTTAATTTTAGTGTTTAAATGGATCCCCCCCCCCCTCCAACACAATTGGTTATGGGGTTTAATTTAAAAGAGTAAAATACCAAGTTAATATTCTATTTAAATGTATTCACAGTTTAAAAGGAAACTATTTTGAAACCAAATTTATTTAAAATATCGACCAATTTTTCATGCCTGTTCTTTAATTTTCCACCACCCCCTACCCACCCCCTCCCAAACTCGAGCGACCCACCCCACAGACAGCTCACCTCCACCGACTGCCCCACTGTTAACAGCTCGTGACTGTCATATTCCTCATTCGTCCTGTACACCGAGACAAAGGTGTCGGCCTCTGCTGCCGTTAGGACCGTGGTGCCGGGTAGCCGGTGCGCCATGATCCTGATGGAAATGTAAAACATTCCGTACATCTGAGTGGGCGGCAGGACTTCTGTGAGAGAAAAGTTCCACAGTCTCTTGTGGGTTTAAGTAGTTTTAGGTTTTACCAACCAGATAATAAATAAATAAATAAACAATCAAACAAACAAACAAACAAACAAACAAACAAACAAACAAACAAACAAACAAACAAACAAACAAACAAACAAACAAACAAACAAACAAACAAACAAACAAACAAACAAACAAACAAACAAACAAACAAACAAACGAACAAACAAACAAACAAACAAACAAACAAACAAACAAACAAACAAACAAACAAACAAACAAACAATCAAATAATCAATCAAACAAACAAACAATCAAACAAACAAACAATCAAACAAACAATCAAACAAACAATCAAACAAACAAACAAACAAACGAACGAACGAACAAACGAACGAACGAACAAACAAATATATATATATATATATATATATATATATATATATATATATATATATATATATATATATATATGTGTGTGTGTGTGTGACGGTGACGATTTTTTTGCCGTGATGATGCTGTGATAGAGATAATATTGTGATGGTAATGATAAAGTGACGTCGACGATGTTGTCGATGATGTTGACGATGATGTGACGGTGATAATGTTGTGACAGAGATGACGATATAAGTGTGACAATGTTGTGCCATCGAGTGCCAGTGACGTCTACGTGTCAGTCACCCAACAGTCCAGCACCACAGCATGGTGCCTTCACTAACCTGACGTGTAGTCTGCTGTACCCTCAGCCACCTCGTCCGGACCATCACATAGAAAGGCTGGGGTCCTACCTTTGCAGTTTCCTGAAATGACCCCAATAGGAAGTTGGCCCTCGATTTTAGTGCCTGAAAATATCAAAACGAGGTTAGTACATTCAAATTATTCATAAACAAATGCATTCGATTTTGAAATGTAGGTGGTAGAACACTTCCGAGCATAGATGTATGGAGAAAAGCAAGGCAAGAGCCTATGACAGTGCAAATAAGAAGGAGGAAGTAAAGATGGGTTGGATACACATCCACTGCGAAAAGCTCACCCAAATGTGACATGCTAGGCGCTTGAGTGGAACCCCCAGGGAAAGCGGAAGAGAGGGCGCCCAAGACAGACCTGGAGGCGGAGTCTTCTTGAAGAACTGAAGCCAATAGGGATGTCTTGGGAGATGTCAAAATTAATAGCAGAGGATAGGAAGAAATGGAAGCAAATGGTGGAGGCCATATGTTCCATAGGGAGCAAAGAGGACTAAGTCAAGTAAGTCAAGTCAATAACGATTTAGGGTTACAGTTACAGTAATGGTAAGATCATCGAAAAAAACAACCCCGCAATGTTTCGATATACATTTGTTTTAGGTATATAGATATATCTCTTCGCGTTTATTCAACATACCTGTCAACGATCCCGAGTATTTGTCCTCTGGCATACAGTTCAAGACATTGAAGGCTTGTAGACTAAGGTAAAAAAAAATCTCTATTGAGTTATCGTAAGAAATATAGGGGCAATGGTCGAATATCCAACACAAAACAACGTATTTTGGATGTTGTTTCCTGATCCCGAATTCACGCCGGATGAAGCCAGTAGAGAGCTAGACTGCTAACCCAAGAGTCTCGCGTTCGAATCCGGGTTCAAATCAGTGTCCACCCAGCTCTGATGGGTACCTAACTTATGTTAGGAGCATAGTGCTGACTACACTATCCCTTCGTATGCCGAGGTCTATGAATCAGATGAACTCTACTTCATCTGCCCCATGTTTTTCTGTTTTTCGTGGACACTGACGGGATTAAGAAGAAGAAGAAGAAGTCAAATGTAATGTTTAAGTAAAGGGGTATTTTTAAAAAATACATTTTCCAGTATCTCTCTGATAATGTAAAGGCAGTGCCACCCCCACCCCCTCCCCCACACACACACACTCACACACCCGAAGTCCATTGCTACCATCGGGCGAAATATATAAACATACATATATACATTAATAAAAAAATTTACCATTGAACCATTGTTTTCCCTATTTCTCAGTACTTTATCCCCGGGAGAAAAATGTCTAAAAGAATCAAAGCACAGAAATACAAACACAAACGCGCATCTTTATTTTTAATTTTTAACTAGACTACCCGTCATCCGTTGGATAACTGTGGGTTTCGGGGGTCATCCATCAAAAAACATCACGTCTGTCACTCAGAGGCATAGCGACCCTTCCCGGCGCCCGGGGACAAACTTTTCGATTTGAACCCCCCCCCCCCCCCCCGCAAGATTTCGATTTGCACCCCCCCCCTCAAACTTTTGATGTGCACCCCCCCATTCAAACTTTCGATTTGCACCCCCCTCAACCTTTCAATTTATTTTTCCAAACCATTTTGGCGCCCCAACATATGTCCCCCCACGCGCCCCCCTTCCCCCCTCCACCTCCCCTTCCCCCCCCCCCGCCTCCCCTCCCCCTCCCGCCCCCCCCCCTCCTCGCTACGCTACTGCAGTGTCACTTATCGTCACAAAAAACAGATCCCACATTCAAAAATATGTTTTTTATCTTTTAAAAACACCGAAAACACCGATTTCGGACTATCCCTTCATATACTGACGTCACATGTGACCTACTCAACTCTACTTCACCTGCCCAGTGTCCCGCCAAGTCTCAGACAACATGTTTTTATCGTTTAAAAAACGATTCCAGCCGAGCATGTCTCTGACCACACTATCCTTTCATATGCTTAGGACAAAGAAACAGATGAACTCTACTTCACCTGCCTTGTATCCTTCCAAGTTCAGATAGGCAATTTTATCATTCACATCTAAAAAAAAAAAAAAAAAAATATCATTGACATATTGGTCTAGAACCTGTGCCACCCACATGAGAGCGGGCTACGCTACCAACTTAGCTATTTACACGTGACGTCACAAGTGAATTTTTATACTATACTTATGCAACTTGATTTAAGCGCATAGATTCTAGATCTAGATCTAAATCTAGTAGTACTAACTTTCAAATTAAATTTTATCTTAAATTAGCCAATTCCATAGAAACTTATTATTATCTAAATCTAGATAGAATTATCTATATTCTAGATCTACGACTGAGCTATATCTAGAGTTTAGGTTCATAATTTTGCAAAATTAGCAGTATAGAAGCCGCGTATAAATCTTAAATTATGCAAATAGAGGCCATGGAGCGAGCATTTCCTAATTAGCATATTTCATAGCTATACAAACAAAGATTTATATAAAATAAAGAAGGTCTGAAATTATCTAGATCTAGATAGAATTATCTAGATCTAGATTCTACGACTCGTTTGCTTAAGTCTTAAGTTTAGTTTTTCTTGCTAGATCTAGAATCTAGATCTAGATCTAATCATTAGCTACGCTGATGGGCCCGGAGCGAGCATTTCAAAATTACCATATTCCAAACAAAGATTTATATAAAATAATAAAGGTCTAAAATAGTTTAGTATATAGAAAATCACTATTATCTAAATCTAGATAGAATAGAATTATCTATATTCTAGATCTACGACTGGTTTGCTTAAGTCTCTTTTTTTTTTGGATTGTATTTATTATCAATAAATATTTGATTTGACCTAGATTCTAGATCTAGATCTATAAATAAATAAATAACTTTCTTGGACAGATTGTAGATCTAGAGAAATTTATCGTAAAACTAAATGAAAAAGACAGTTGAAAATTGATATAAGTGTTGGAACGTAATAAATACAGCAAACGGACGTATTGTTAAAGTTATGACCGACAGAAAAAAATTAGATTTAGAACGCGT